TAAACATATTGTTACTAGCCATCTTGTGGGAAAGGTTCTTCAACCATGTGTCACTTCGTTGACCACCCCCAAGGGCCATCCTTGTACTAGCACCAAGATCCCGAGGGCTAGCCCAACTCTTTGACTGTGACCTTGGTCAATCTAAAGTAAAAGGCTGTCTTGAAGGCACTCCCTCTCAAACCTCAGAGTTTTATAAGAGTGAGACACCATCATTACAGCCCCAAAGGTAACTAACCATTCACAGCCACAGAACTTAGAAAGAGTGCTATGGAAGTCCACCCTTCACCTTCAAACATGGGTGCCTTGGTGCCTACCAGGATATCATAAACACTTTATCTGCTAGTATCGCCTATTTAAATGACCCACCCTAAGCCAATTATCACACCCCACCAAAACAGTGTGGAATAGGCATCACCCCACCCCCAAGATATGAAGAAGAAAAATTCCTACCTGGCCCTCACACTGTCCATTGAATGAGAGGGTGGGTGATCCTTAAATAGCCTTGATCTTGCCCCTCTCATGTGACCCGGGCACCTGAAGCTGATGCAGCCTCAACTATTACGGCCTCCCTCAAGGGGAAGTTTTCCCTCCTCCCACTCCGGAGCCTCATAAGCTTACCCTTTTCAGCTGTAGATGGGGTTTCTCCCAAAGGCATTTCCTTATAAAGCTATGATTCCCTTTCTCAGCTTACATTCTATGTGAGTTGCTCTTAACTCAAATGCTGGTGGGCAAATTCCTCAAATTATTTCTCTCAAGGCATTTCTAGTGGACATCATATGTCTCATCATTCTAGATGCTGATGTGGACCTGTCACCCATTCTGTACTCAGTAAAGAACTATAGGAACTCATAAGGAAACCTAAAAAAAAAAATCCTACTCAGAGTCTCCCTATCAGGTAAACACTAAAGGGATGTGATAAGTGGGATGAAAAGGGAAGGGCATAGGTTTGTGACTGACAGCACTAACTTTTACTCTCAGTCAATAGTTTTATTTCTCCAACCCTAGTGCCTATGAGAGGGAATATATAAGAACTGTTCATATAACTGGCTGTTCTTTCTCTCTTGAGCAGAAACACTAAAACATTTCTACTTCTAGTTATGTCTTAGAGACCTTGGGATTCTGAGTTCTTGCTTGGGTGGTAGATTTCAGTTGAACATTACAAGGAACTTCTTGATAGTAAGAGCAGATTGACAGTTACTGAGAGAGGTTATGGAGGTCTCCTTCTCTGGAGGCCTTCAAAAAGAGCTGAGCAACTACCTGCTGGGGATATACTAAACAGACAGTTGGACTCAACAGCTCAAGAGATCCCTTATGATTGTATTGATTTCATAACACTGTTGATGTTAGAAACCTGCTACTGCCAGCATATATAGACACTGCCAGTAGCAGTCCTGTTGGACATTCTGCATGACTATAGTGTATACTGAGCAAAGCACAAAAGCTAAAGTTTTAAAAACTCATCCTAACACCATAGACTTAACCTTCTGAAATTATGCAGGGACACATCTATGTTGAGATGTAAACCCTGACTTTTTTTTACCCTTGTGTGGAAATCAAATTAAACAGCAGTTTCTTGTGTTGTTGGTCTTAGATGGGATGGTGCACATTTTGTAAAATATTAAGCAATTAAAAGATGTTATAAATGTTGGCTTGTCATGAAAATAGTATCTTGATTGGAATTGCAGCCTACATCACTGTCATATGATGTTTCCAAATATATTATCCCAAACACAGAGGAAGATACAAATAACTCCCCCCTGAAGCTGAAGATTGTTCTTCCATCCCAGCCTTGGGATGTATCTTATTTAAACTTCTCTGTTGTATTTCTCTCTCTGTGTGTGTAGATATATACAAAAACACACAGATATCTATCTTCCAGTTATATGTGGTCCAGCAAAATATACCTTTATGTGCACATTTCACTTGTTGTACATATTTTTGCAGCATTCAGAGGCATGCAAACATTGAGGAATGATTGTATTTCATGATCCATATTGTTTGTGGGAAGCCTGAATGAGATATATTCACATTAGAATGTAACTTGAAGTAATTTCTGGCTCGTACTTACCCTAACAGCAATTTGTGCAGTAGCAAGTTTTTCTTTGAAAGTTTGATCCCCAGACAGACTTCTGGAGAGAGAGTCAGGAGGACTAAATCCAGTTCTATTTTTTCTCCCAAGCAACTAAATACCATGATTTTATATCCATACAGGACTACCTTCACTTGTGATTCTTGTGAATTAAGCATCATAGTATTATCAAAATTGGACCTTGCTGCTGTTCTTGACCCAATTTCAAGCCTTCTGCAGTGAGGTATATCTCTGCTGAAGAAGACTCCATTAATGGCTGCAATCTTATCATGAATGCTCCATGTGTTTGAATATGAGCTATACCGATTTGTGAGGCTAATCTGCAGAATCAAATGTGCATTTCACATTAACACACATGATTTCACCCAATCCAATGGATTTGTATATGGTAGCTTGTTCTGAACATATTATAGCCCCTAGCTGGAATATAACTTCCTGTATTTGTCTTTCTAACATTTGAATCTGAGAAGAAATGGGTCTATATGCCAAAGAGCACTTCTAGGTGAAACATCTTTTGAGTCCCACTTGCACTCTGGACATGATAAAGGAGCATTGCTTCCATTTAAAACCTCAAAAGTCAATTGAATCTGATTTAAAGCACAGACCAATGTGACAGACTTCCAGTGCATTTCCCAATGAACTGTGAAATGCTGTCTTGAGATTTCGGCTGATGCAACTTTAATTTACTCTAGCAGCAAATACATGGCACTTACTGCTTTATTTCTTACATCCACTCTGAATAACTTTTTTTTAAAAAAAAAATAAGGATTTTCTTCTCTTCACAAATGGAAAACATGTATACCCTTGGGGCAGAATAGGGTAAACACACATATGCAGAAACTATATTTGATATCATTAAGACTAGAAAATTGTCAGCTTAAAGCAAAACAATGTGACACAGTTAGCTTATTGATTGTAATGATCAAGGAAGATATAAAGTGGCTGACCCAAAGAATCAATCAGTGGCATTGGGAAATCACAGCATCCCTCCCTTCTTTTCCCTCTCAATTATCTTATTTTTTCTTTCTGGAGTTCACATATCGGTTGCCTCCATTATTCCAATTTCACTATCTCCTAGTTATATTTGTTAAATTTAGTAAGGATACGTTTTATTAAATTTGATTTAGTTTCTCTTGAGAAAGCAGTTGCCCTAAAGGCTGCAGTCAGAGTAAGATCAGTACATACACATCCTCTCTGCAGCATACCCTTGGCCTGAATCTCATTAAGGGATAAAAATTGCTTGCATAATTGGCAAAAAGGGAATATGGCAAGTTATAGTCTTATTTACACTGCTAATGCAGAAGACATTGCCTTATTCCTACACCTTCAAATTGCTGTAATGGCATATAGCTCCATTTGCTTAGTACTTCCAGTTCTATTGGATTATCAAAACAGTATTATGGAGATTTGAACTGTGAGAATAGGTCCATCCTAAGATTAAAGGTGCTGCAGCTAATAGGTAGTTAGGTAGACAGAGAGAGAAAATGACTCTCTGGTAATCACACTCTATGGAAGGTGATTAATAAGGAGAACCACATCTGCTAATGAAGAACATCCACATTCAGCAGGCAGCTTATCACTCACCAAGGACGAATGAGCAGGGACAGCTGTCTCCACAGTCAAATGCTTGTCACAGATATCTGGTTGGCTACAGTGAGAAGTAAGGTGATGGATAGAAGATCTTCTGGTCATATGCAATAATTCTCTTCTTATGTCTGAAGACTAGACAACTGTCTAGAGAATAATGTGGCCAACTAAACTTTAAAATTTAGCTTCCTTCTATGTATATCGTAACTGTAAGTGTTTCAAGATACTACTTCATGTAATTTTTTGCAAGATATGATATTTATCTCAAGGAAGTGACTGTGGATCAAATTCAATCTCTTTGTGAACAAAGACAAGCCCTCCTGAAAGTTTTAAACTTTAATTTTCTCTTAGCATCCCTTCACCCCCGTGGAAGTTGTTAGAATATCTAAACACATGAAGTATTATGTGGAAATGTTACCACTTTGGTTGAGTGTGCTTCTCACCCATCATAAAGCTGAAAATTGGAAGGTTTCTTTTTGTTCCAATGCTAATTTTTTTCTGCCTCCCTACTTTTAAGGAGAAAAATAAAGAGCTAAACCATTATATCTGCAGAACAGCTTTGAGGAAAAAAAGTAGATGTTAACCTTAAGGGAAGTGATTTAAGATGGATTGTTTTCACCTAAACACCTTTACCTGTGCAAATTGCATAGCTTTCTGCTGAGGTACACAGTGTGCGCATTTTTCCTAGAGGACATCTAAGAAAAAAGACAGGTTTGAACATTATGTAAATAACAGACTAAAATAAGCTTAAAATGTGGCTGCTTAACATTTACAGTCTTTTTGTTTTATTTAAGATGGACAGTATAAACAGGTTTGGGATGTGGTGAAGTTACTAACATATGTTGAGACATACTAGCCAGGGCAAAAGGGGTCGGAAAACATGTCTGCCTTTTTTTCAGTAAGCAGAGCTCTTCAATATGGATTTCCACATACTTATGTGTGTATGCCTTCAAGTCACCTTTGGCCTATGGCAACCCCATGAATTTCATAGGGTTTTCTTAGGCAAGGAATATGCAGAGGTGGTTTGCCAATTACTTGCTTGGAATATATCCTAAAGCACCTATTATTTCTTTGCAATCTCATTTAGAACTAATCCTGCCAGAATCCCCTGCAATAGTGTTGAGTGATTTCAGCTACCCCAACAATTGTGGGTTTAGGGCCCTGCATGTCAAGGTCCAAAGTGGTCAAATAAGGCACAAACAGGTAGGAGGTATAATCAGAGGGTTTATTCTCCTTTAACCAAAGAGGATGTCAGTGCAATCAGCATTCCAAAAACTGACATAAGTGCAACATACAAGATTATTTATAGTACTTTGACAGCTATTCAAAACAAAGGCATTCTGCTGTGCTGGTTTCTGGTTGATCTAAAATGGTGCCAGCTAGGCTCCATTCTCTGAAAGGTCCAGGAACTCTATCTGTTGTCATCTCTGATTGGCTCCATCTGTGGTGGAAAATTTAATAAACTGTCATTGGATTATTTGTAGTTTTATGTCTGTTTATCTCTCCACCCAGAAGATGGGTGCATGTGGAAAGGAAAGCAGCTGAGCAAGGGGTAGTAGGTTTCAATAGGTTTTGGTGTCTCTATCTTGGTCAATACAATTGGTAACAGACAGGTAGAGAAAAGGGTAGCCAGAGCATTGGCAAATTCAATGGAAACCCCAAGTAAGGGGTCTGATCTAGCGACAGAAATGAGGAAATGTTCCAAGGAATCAACTCTGATTATATCAGAAAAAAACCCTGTGGTTCCTCCTGTAGTACATTATGTGTTCTGTGTGTCATCTTTGGGTATTATGAAGGGATTATGTTAACTAATGTGTGTTCATTCTCTGAGGTCTAGGATGTGTGTAGTGCTTGTGCAACATTCTAGATAAGTTCAATCAAGTGTGGTTTGAAACTAGGGGAACAGTTATTGCAGGCTCCCTGTGGAGATGTGGACTCTGCGGTTTGCCCTTTTGGGGTCTGATTTTTCAATAACAATAGCATTGCATTATGGGCACCAAAAGTTGGAAATGACTCAAAGGGAGAAAGCAACAAATTCAAGTTGAAGGAATGGGGGTGGGTTCTAATATCAGTGCTAGAAATGTGCAACTTCTCTTAATTTGCAATGTTGAATACTATCCAAAGTATTTTAATTTTGCTTCAATTTTCTATAAGGGCTTCTAAATGCATCCCAACCTTTATTTTAAAGGGAACTCAGTAGCAATGAATAATTCCCACAGAATATGTTTTTGATATAATTGTTCACGATTACTTTAAAGTTTGCTTTAAATTACACTCAACAGTGAAGGTTTAATCAAAGACATTGCCTTCAGAGATTACCACATACCCTCTGTAGATATAACTTTCAACCATAAGTATTAGAGTAGCAATATACATTTTAAACATAGCTTTTCCGATTGTGATGTAACTTTATTTGCTAAGCATTTTTGATATGTTATCACCATTAAAAAATAAATCAAGAACAAAGGTTTCTGTCATCTGATTTAACTGAAGGGCATCAAGAACAAAAAATAGTAATGTATCCCAATTAAATATCAAAGTAACAATCAAAGATCAATACATTATGCCAATTTTCTGTTTCCAAAATTGAATATGCGGCAACTCTGTAAATGCTAATAAACTAAAAATTAATTTGTTTTCAAACTCATAACAAAATTGTTCATATGTGCCGATAAAAGAATACCAGGATCTGAAACATAATGCAATCCTTGATATTAACATTTTAATATACTATCCTTAATATTATGAGGCATGACCAACCAAATGGACATATATTGTGCTTTAAAAATATGTTAACCATTTCACCACCTAGAGTATTTTTAACATTTAAGAAGTAGAATACCTTAATATGTCTGACTTAGCAAAATACAAGCAGCATGGTGATTATGCTTATTTTCGAAACATATTTGAGAATGCAGATATGAAAGAGAAGAGTGGCACAATGTTAAAGTAGTTTTGCAAAATAATTGTATGAATGGAGCAGATTCTGTAGTGGACATGTATAGTTCTATCATTTTGCTACAGCCAAATTAGGAGCTATGGAGGGATTAGAATTTGTCGTATTCTTTTTCATTGATTCTAGATTTCTAGGACTGATGTGGGCACATCTACAATGACCACTTAGGTCAGTATGATCTTAGATTAGTCTTGTGGCTGCTGAAAGCTGATGAGCCTGATGAAGCGTAACCTGGGGGAATGCAACCTTAACACAGCTTTCCCCCAGCTTAAGCAAACTCTGAAAACAACCCAAATTCTGACCCAGGATTCAGTTTTTCTCCTGAGTTAGAAGTTGGAATCATAGAGTCATAGAGTTGTAAGAGACCACAGGGGACATCCAGTCCAATTCCCTGCCATGAAGGAAAAGCACAAAGCACCCCAACAGATGACCATCCAGTCTCTTATTTAAAAGCCTGCAAAGAAGGAGCTTCCACCACACACTGAGACAAAGCTCCACTTTTAAACAGTTCTTATGGTCATGATGTTCTTCCTAATGTTTAAGTGGCATCTCCTTTCCTGTAATTTGAAACCATTTCTCCGAGTCCTAGTGTCCAGGGCAGCAGAAAACAAGTCTGCTTCCTCTTCGTCATGACATCCTTTCAAATATTTATTCATGACTATTAGGAGTGTGCAAATCTTCATTTTTTAAATTGTAAGTCATATCTATTACGTATTTTTTGCATATACAAACAGATATTAAGAAAACCGAGGGGGGGGGGCACAAGCAAAGACTTAAGAATCAAAACTTGTCCAATACTTGTCCAAGTAAGAATTAAAACTTGTCCAAGTTTCCCCATTGGCAAAATTACTTAACAAAATGTAATAAAAATTAGTTAACTCGTTATAGTTATGATACGGATCCCATCTAATTTTGGAAAGACTTTAGAAACAATTTTCCCCGTCCCTTAATTTTGTTATGAATATTGACACATTTTTACATTGATTGCACAGGCCTAATTGCTATCATATCTCCTCTCACCCTTTTCTTCTGCAGGCTAAATATCTCCAGCTTTTTAAGCCACTCCACATTGGAGATTATTTCAATACCTTTGATCATTTTAGTCACCCTCCTCTGGACACTTTATAGCTTGTTAATATCAAGTGGGCAAATCCTAATTCAAACAAGCAACAGTTGTCTTCACAACCATCCCATGGTGTTTGGGCTCATGCAGTTCAAGCATGCAGGATGGCAGTCTCTCCCCTCCCCTTCCTATCCAGGATAAGGTAGGTGGGGGTGCCATGGCTGTCACAGCCACGGCACCCCCACCTACCTTATTCTGGACATCTGGTTGCTATCAGCCAGACCATGACCTCCCTAAAGAATCTGGGTTAGGGGCAGAGACTTTTCTTCCTTCTAGATGCCTTAGTAGGCCATAGTCTGGCTGATGGCATCCAGTGTGCCTGAAAATTGATATAAGAGATGGTGTCACAGCTGGCTACTGCTTGGAAATGTATATCTCACCCACTAGTAGAATACTACCACTGGGAGTTCTGTGCTAGTGGAATTATCTGCAAACACATAAAAGATCCCTAGATTATGTCATCCTGTTCATGGATCACCTTTCTTTCTGCTACTTGAGCAGCGGTCACATTGCCCCATAGCAGGTTTTTGAATACATACAATACAAAGCCCTAAACAGTTCGGGATCTGCATATCTTTGCGACTGCATCTTCTCCTAAAACCTAAAAATGTGGGTGTTGAACTGTGCCTTTGATTAAACCACTGTTCCCTGCCCTATAGACATAGTGTTCTGTTTCATAATGTCCTTTTACTCCTAATTTGTCATCTGGCTCTTGCACTTTATCCATCAGACCTGTCCTTGCAACTGATTTGCACCAGCCAGCCCTCCCTGGCTCAGTAATTGTTAATGATGTCAGGATATAGGTTGTTTGTTCGATGGTTGTTTTAAACTGTTTTATGATGTTGTTTTATAAATTTAACTGTTATATTTTAAACTATGTTTGATTGGGCTTGTCCCCATGTAAGCCACCCCGAGTTCCTTCAGGGAGATGGTGGCGGGATACAAAAATAAAGTAGTAGTTGTAGTTGTTATTGTTATTGTTGTTGTTATTATTATTGATTAGCTCAGAGTCCCAGTGCATGCTAAACCTACAGTAAATTCTTCTCCATTTGGATTGTGCAGTTGAAGGGCAGCTCTTACCCTGTCAAAACTATTTCCCCTGTAAAACCCCTTTTAGGATGCAATTGCATGGTGCAGCTTCACACCACTTAACTACCATGGCTCTCTCCTACAGAATGCTCTGATTCATCATTTAGTGAGGCACTTCGAATTCTCTGCTAGAGAGTTTTAATGCACACACCTTCTTGAACTCTCTGATGAGAGAGGTGTGTCTGAACACTGCTTCTTACCATGTCAAGTGATTTCATACATCATATTCTCACTGTCAAGACGTTCTGTGCAGCATATATGACATTTTCTACTTTTTATCTTGTTCTCAAATATAGGGTAGTTTGAAAAAAAGTGACCTGTCCACCTTTGTGTCTGAATGTATAACATCTGATATGCATAGTTCTGCCTTCATGGTTTGCTTCTATAAATTAAAAGCAAGGTGATATTTATTGATCTGTCTCAATATTGACTGGTTGGAGCAATTGCTTGACTGACTTATTTAATTGATTGTTATAAGACACATAATGCTTTCCAACACCAGTAAGATAACTATATTTATATCTATGTCTATATCTAGCTAGCTAGCTAGCTTGTGACATCTTTATTAGGAAAACCAACAGAGCTATCCTGGTAATGCAAATCAGCTCACAAGTTTCCATTTCACATATATTACTATATTTTAGTTCTAATTTAGCTGAGATTGTGTACAAAGATGGGTTTTGAGTGAGGTGACTGTCCCAGAAATGGAAAACCAGGTTTGTTTTCAAAGCTCAGTCTGTGATCATTTGCCTCTCCTTGTCCCTTCTGCTATCTGACATGAACTGTGATATAATCATATCCCTCTAGTTTTGTTCTATTTTGGCGAACACCTTTGCCTAATTACCCCTTTTGTACTCCTTCTTGGTAGCCTGTGTGCCTCTGATATATGCCTTTGCAACTTCATAGCCCCCAAAGGCTTGTCAGGTTAAAGATTAATGAGTAGACATTACCCAGCGGTTTTACAAAGGTTAAACATAATTACAAATGGGGTATTTTAGACAGCACTGGAGATGTGAATGTTGAGAAATGAATAGAAGAGGAAGGAGGGGGAAAGTTAAGAAGCTTGTGGGAATCAACTCAGCCATTTATAGCTTCTGAAGACAGAAATTATCATAAAAGAAAACAAGGACAAAAGTGCTACTCCTTTATTCCAACTATGATGACAGATAACAAAAAAACCACCCTACCATATGGTGAAAAATAGGTGACACAGTCTCCAGTTTATAACCCCACTGCCTCCTAATCCCACTTTCTCATTTATGTTAGCTGAAGT